GAGAAGGATGTCATGCTGGGGAAGATGAAGGGTCAGAGAAAAAGAGGAAGACCCCCAGCGAGATGGATCGGCCAAGTGGCATCATCGATGGCATCAAGTGTGACAGCGGTAGTGAGGATGGCCCAGGATTGTACATTGTTTTATTCTGCTGTGCATGGGGTCACTATGAGTCGGTTCTGACTTGATGGCACCTGACAACAACAATATTGCAATAGTATTTGATCTTTCCGTTATACTTGAAGGATGGCCTGTTAACCTAATGCTCCTTTTAATAATCCAGATTTTGCTACTGTCAAAATAAATCACTGGCATAAATATTTCCAATAGAAAATTCTGCTATGATGGAACTGTTCTTAATCTGCACTGTCAATACAGGTTTGGTAAGTACCTGAAATGTACCAATGCCACTAAGAAATTTGTTTTAAATTTTATTTAATCATTCTAAATTTAAACAGTCCCTTGTGCTTGGTGGTAGGTATAGCAGGGGTCTTGATAAACTGAAGGAAAAGAAAGATTCCTAAAAGCCCAAAGATAATGACTGATGATATTACAAATTCTCATCTCCAGAAAATGCTGGGATTCCTTCTGGGTATGTTAAGACGGCTGTTTTATTCTGGTGATAAGCTCGGTATGTCTCCCCTGGGGAGCTAGCTACAGGTATAGTCAGCAGTCATGAGCTGTCTCCTTAAATCTGAGACTGGACTGACTTTAGTCAAACCTCAACAAAACAAAGCGATTATATAAATTCAGAAAATCCTAATGGGTCAGTACTACTTTATCCAGAATCACTTAAAACCATTCCTATGACTATTGTGGGGCTCAGCCTTAGCTAACTATGGAGCTGCAAGTCCCGAACAGACAGCATGCATATGATGTTCAATGTCAGGTCTATAGTATCTCCAGGAGCAGAGGAGCTAACTATGGCAAATCTGTTCAATGTCGTTGAGAGCCGTCAAGTCGATTCCAACTCATAGCAAGCCAGTACAGGGCTTCCAGGGAGCAGCTAGTTAAGTCTGAACTGCCGACCTTGTTTCAATCAATGCATATCATCTTTACCTTAGAATCTTCATTTTAAGACCCATAATTTCGGCTTAATTCCCATCATTAGTATGAGCATTTTGATTTTTTTTCTTCATACACACAAAAAAGTGTATCTTGGTTTTGTTTAAGAAAAAACAAACAATTAATTGCATGAAATGTCAGTGACCAGCTAGCTAAACTCATCTCTAGGCAGGTCCATGGATTACATACAAGAGCTGCTCTTAAGAGTGTCTTTGAGTTGAATTTGTAGATAAATTGGAACAGGTGCACATGGTTCTTATTTCCCATTGCTTTAGTGTAAGAAAACTCAGGAAATCTTCTTAAACTGCCTGTGTATCAGGAGATGGTGATTATGATGAAGAATTTGTTGAGTAGTTTCAAAGTGAGGGCATATTTACATGACATTAAAGGGCAAGGACAAGTGTCTGTAATTCTGTAACCCTGGGATTTAATGTGCTAGTGAACAGCACAGCAGCTCTGCAGAGTTCAGAGAATGCAAAATGACAAGTTAGCATTTCCTTAGGTCAAAACTCTCAAATGTTCTACCAGCTACTGCCAAGGATCCAGAATGGTCCACATAAAGAAGACGCTGAGTGTGGAAAGGGGGAATCCAAGTCCTTGGATTTGGCTAGGCAAGGATTTCTTAAAGATGTTATCCTGAACCACATCTTAAAGAGAAGAATGTGGGCTGTCAAGCTGCCAAATAGAAGAGGTGAAAACATTCTCTAATGAGATGAACGACATGAGTGAGCAAGCTGCGGGAACAAACTGGAAGCTAGGCTTACACATGCACGTACAGTAGTAAGACAGTGCCAGTGTGTAGGTACTACCGAATTAGAAGGTGATTTAGAGACTAAACATGAGATACGAGCCACTGTAACTGAAGTTCCACAAGTGGATGGCTTTAACAAACAGACACATGTCCTCATAGATTAGGAGGCTACAAGTCCGAATTCAGAGTGCAGGCTCAGAAGGAAGGTCTCCTTTCAGCCTCTGGAGGCCCAACATTCCTGGGAGTTCTCCATGTGTCTTGACATCAGTTTTCTCCTGGATATGGGGGCTTCACAGGTACAAAGAACGCACCCCACTCCTGGCTCTTCTTTCCTGGTGGGAGTAGGTCCTTCCTTCCCCACTCACTTCTCTCGCCACTGATTTTTTTTCTAAGATTAAAAGTGTTGCAGGCCACACCCCTGAGCAAACTTCCTTTTAATTAATTGGCTGCTCTCATAATGAAAGTGATTACATCTCATTGTGGGGGATTTTACTACTACATCTTAACGGTTAAAACACTGAAAATCTTGGCCCAGCCAAGCTGACACAAAACCTTAATTATTACAGTCACAGACACCTAATTCATGTTTATTGTAAGCTCTATGGAATACTAATTAAACCTTAGAAAGCACACAACCCGTATGACCCACCTAGGACTTACCAACTTTATAGTGTACACATCCTTCCAAATCCCCTACAGTTGTCCAGCCCTGTTTCTTCTCAACTTCTGGATCGTTGTGAAGTATTTTATTTCGTAACCAGGACAAATAATAGACCCGTAACTTATCCTTTTTGCCTAGCAAAATAAATACAAATATTTCAAATGCATGTTCAAAATAAGTGATCTTTTTATTAACAGTAGAGACAAAAGAACTCTCCCATTTAATGAGATGAGTGGTGTCAGGAGACCACAAAGGAATACAATAACAGCACAAAAATAGAGTAGCGTTTCCCAGATGCTGTCACATCTCTTCAGGCACCTGATTGTCAAAACCCTTTATAGTCACCATTACCACTCATTTGACAGATGAGGAAACAAAAAGGTTAAATAAACCACCCATACAGGAGCAAATCTAGCACTCATAGCTAGAATACCTAGCAAATTCCTATAATCACAGAGATAACCCAACAGAAAAAATGGACAAGAAACAAGAGCTGGTGCTTCCCAAAAGACTGCCATGCAGACATAGAACGGTGCTTGATTCCAACAGTCGATAGGAACATGCATACTAAAACTACAGAGATACAATTTCAGACACCAATTGTTAAAACACCGGTGGTGGTGGTTGTTCCGTAGAGTCGGTTCTGACTCAGAGACCCTGTATAGGGTTTTTGAGGAGAGCCTGGTAGATTTGAACTGTCGACCTTGAGGCTAGCAGTACAGTGCTTATATCAGGACTCTGGTTACCAATGGTTGTTGCTGTTGTTAGGTACCATCGAGTCAGTACTGACTCATAGCGACCCTATGCACAACAGAACGAAACACTGCCCGATCCTGGGCCAACCTCACAATGGTTGCCACACTTGAGCCCACTGATGCTGCCATTCACCAATGGTAGGTGTGGAGAAACTAGGAACCTCATAAATCGGTGTGTAAACTGTTAAAGTTGCTTGGAAAGGTTCAATATTATCTATTAAAACTGAATGTAGGCAGTCCCTGAGTTAGGGATCCCCTGCCACATCAAACTTATTTATTAAAACTTTGAGACACATACAATAGTTCATACTACTACACAGGAGCTATTTTGCAATATATGTCAAAATATAATAATTATTACTACTGTATCATTATGTTAAAGTTGTTTTAGTGTACCTGGAAAATGTTGTTTTCAATGTATTTTAGTATAGTAAAGTATATTATATACTAAGGCACTACTTGACTGATGTTAGGGAAGGTACAAATTCAGACTTAGAAACTAGAACTCAGTCATAATCTGGGAACTGCCAGTATTTTCATACCCTACCCTATGCATGCCTGGTGTGTGTGGTGTTACAGGTTAAAGCACTAGACTGCAAGGTCAGTTTCAACTGCAAGGTTGGTAGTTCAAATTCACTAGCGGCTCCTTGGAAACCTTATACAGGGTCTCTGAGTCGGAACCGACTCATCAGCACTTAACAACAACAACAACGTATGATAAAGTAATTTCTCTTTCACCACAAATGTGAGCATGCATGTTGTTGTTAAGTGCTATTGAGTTGGTTCCAACTCATTGCAACAATGAATGGTTTTCCAAGGAGCAGCTGGTGGGTTTGAACCTTGTGGTTAACCGTCAGTTCAGTGCTTATCCTACACTGTCACTTGGGAGTACCCAAGTACATGAACAGGAACATTCACAGCAGCACTGTTCATAACAGTCTCAGAGAGGAAGTAACATGAACGTCTATCAAGAGTAGAATGAGAAATAAATTTGGGTGTCATCATACATAGAAGTATAGGTATGGCTCTGTAGGATAAGCTCTGGGCTGCAAACCACAACGTCAGCAGTTCAAGCCCACCAGTCCCTCCTCAGAAACCCTAGACAGGGTTGTTATGGGTGGGAACCGACTCGATGGCACTTAAAACATACATTAATAGTAAAAATGAATGACTTCTGGTACAAACAACAAAATACATCAAAAGATGCCAGACATAGAAGTATAAGCTCCCATTTATATAAATTTAGTTCAGAGGTTATCTCTGGGGAAGGAGAGGGAACAGAAGGAGTAGCTTGAGGCAGCATGGGGACCTTCTGGGGTGAGAGGAATGCCAGTGCTTTATGCAGGCAGAGGGGCTACATGGATGTATTGGTTTTGTGATCCTATATTGAACTGTATGTGTACAATATGGGCCCTTTTAGTAAGCATGTGTCTTATAACTCAATACAACTTTAATGAGTTTTGAGAAATTTTTTAAAGTGGGAAAATGTTCATTATAATATTGAGTGTAAAGGCCAAATGATTTTCTGAATAGTGTTTTATTCTGGTATCATGAGACAGATTTACAGATTTATATAATGTTAACACTAGTTATCTGTGTGCTAGAAAAAAAACATGTTTTATTCTCCTGAATTTTTTTCCTATTTTTGAACATTTCAATCAGCATGTATTACTTTAATAGTTGTGAAGAACATTAAAAGTTATTGAAGAGGGCAAGAATGCAGAGAAGAAAATCACAAATTATTTCTGATAGCAGCAGGCTCTTGCCCCTCCTTGGACTGTCTGGTTTCACTGGATTACAAAATCATGTTTAACCGATTTTTAGCAGCAGGTTCCTAATTTTTCCTCCAATTTCAAAAGCTACCCACCCACATTCAAGTTTGAAATTGCAGTTATCTTCTCAGTTTAAGCACGATACAGCAGAGGAAATTTTTGCATTTCAGCAAATTTTTTTTACTTAACAACCAAAAGCATTATTTAGAGAAATGCAAGCAAATCTAGCACATATAAAAAAATAAACTTGAGAGTGCACACATTTCAATCAAATCCGTGGCTGGTCGCACTGTTGCGATGTGCCGTGGTGTCGGTTCCGACTCACAGCGACCCTACACAGGGTTTCTGAGGCTATAAATCTTTACAGGAGCAGACCGCCTCATCTTTCTCCTGCGGAACCGCTGGTAGTTTCAAACTGCTGACCCTG